CCCGCGTTGTTGCTCTCTGTTTTTGCTCAACCTCAACAGTGGCGCACAGCTCACCCGCTTCCTCCCCTTTTGTGACGCCAACGACCGACCGACCGACTGAACGACCGACCGGCGCACCGACTGCTTGTCAGACAGTCCGAACGAACGACAAAACCGTTTGTTCGTTTGCTTACTCTCTCTCTCTCTCTCTGTCATTCTTGTATTCTACTTCGTTTGTTTGCGCACGGTGCTTTCTGTCTCTCTTTTGCTCATAACAGGCAGATGTTGTGTCGAGGCAGCAGCGGCAAAATTTTTTCTTCGTTGTTTTGCTTTTGCTTCGAGTTGGCTTTTTTTTTATAATTTCTTTTTATGCTATTATTATTATTATTATTATTATAACGCTGTTGGCATCGATGCTGGCTGCGTATAGTTTTAAGCCTCTTTTCATATTGTCGTCTACTGCTGCGTGTTGTTGTTGCCGTTGCTGTTGGATGTGTGCGTGTGTTGTTATTTTTATTAATTTGTTTGCGCTGGGGCTGCTGAAAATTGTCAACAGCGCATTTGGCTGGTTCGACGCTTGCGTCGCTGCCGCCGTTGACGCTACTTTAATCTTACGCGTGCTTAAGTTTTTTTCTGCTTATTTTCTGTCTTTTTCTTTCTGTGAAGTGCGGCAACGCTGCATGTCTTGTTGGATCTGAATATATTTTTATTGCTGCCGAGCAGCAACGCTTTTGCGTGGCTTTTGGTCATTGCGACGCTTGGCTGATTTTTTTTTTTTGCTTGTTTGTGGAATTTGTGCTTAATTTTCGTCTGTTTATGAGTGTGTGTATGTGTACATGAATGTTTTTGCCATTTGCTTAAATTCAATCCAATTTCTGTGCAATTTTCATAGTGTGAATTAAATTTACTAGAAGTTGCTAAGCTATACGCGCGCTGCTGTGTGTGCATTGCGAATTGTTGTTGGTGCCTGGCAGCTGTTAATTGTTATTGTTTTTATTTATTTGTGGCTGTGCAGTTTAATTGCTTTCATTAAACGCAACAACAATAACAAAAATGTTGCTGACCAGCAGCAGTAACAGCGTCGGCGGCTCAGCGGTAGCGCTTAGCAGCGCCAGCAAAACATGTGACCGTGCGCTGTTGCCTTGCCAAGCTTTATTATTTCAGTTTCCAGTTTGTCGACACTGGCAGAGCTTTTTTTGCCGTTTCTGCTTCGTGTGTTTTATGATATGTATTTTGATGTTGTTGCTGCTGCTACTTTCTGCTGCTGCTTCTGATTTCTGTTTTCTGTTTTTCACGTAGGCAACACGCGTAAATATCTCTGTAAAGCTGCTGCGGGCATCTGGGAATACCGCAAATACTTCGAAAATTAGCCTACGAGAGTGAAAAAGAAAGCGAAAGAGTGAGTGAAAAAGCACCAGAGATGGAGTTAGTGAAGTTGTTGGTTTTTTCTTTTTGTTGTCTAACTTTGGACTTTAATTCAAGAGTTTTCCGTTTGCTACTGATATGAACTCGTAAATTCTTTGGCTTATCAGTTAATATTCCGCTTATCAAACATAGCTGCTGATCGATATGTGATAACGATTAAAGTTATGTGTAATACACACATACTAATGTGTGTGTGTGTGTGTGTGTGTGCCAGATATAAATATGAATGAAATATTTATGTATCTATCGCTGTCGGTTGAAAATCAAATTTATTGTTAAATAAATTTAAAAAAAAAACTTTATTGTTATGTTATGTGTTTATTTAAAGTATATTTAAAAAGAAATGTGTAAATTAAAAATTACGAATTTCTATAATATACAGAAGGTAAGATAATCGATTTTGTTTATATTCTGTACAGTGTACAATAATTTTATATATATATATATATATATATATATATATATATATATATATATTATATATATGAGTGTTAATATGTTTAGTCCAGATCTGGGTTATATACGATATTTTTTCAGATAGATTCACTTAGATAGATAAAGAAGGCTGTTGTATACATATACTATATATATCGCAGACTAAATACCTGGAAATTTTCAATCATAGATGTGTCATAACTTATGTCTATATATTCTTTCACCCTCTATATTCTATTCAAATTGAGCCAACTTATCTCGATATACAGTTTCTCAAGAAACACTTTACACACTGCGAAAAAATACTATTATTGTCTTTGGATGCAAAATAAATCGGCTTAAATACAAATTAAGAATTTTTAATGCTAAACTATTTAATAATATATATTGCGTTAAATTATAAAAAAAAGTAGCAATGTATAACAAAATAAACAACAAAAACAAAAATGACTTATTTTTAAGCTGTTTACACAAAACACTTTGTTCTTAGCTTAAAATAGAAAACAAATGATGCTAATTTTAATATTTATAGCAGTTAATACATGCTGGAGGTATTGTCTCATGGAATTGAGCAACTTAATTAGTATTCAAGAGGGATATTTTGCCACTCTTCTAGGATAGCAGCGTTCAGTGGTGTGCGGTTTCTTGAATCTCGTTTTCTCCCTAATTTCTTTGGGTATACCCATAATTATTCAGTGGGGTTCAGATCGGCACACTGAGGTAGCGTATCAAGAACGTTGCCACAATTAATCTTCTTAATCATTGTATTGATGGAGTTTACAATTTTGCCTTCTTTTATTTAACATTTAACAAGTCAAGCGTTTTTGCACTTTTTCAATTCATCTTTAAAATCTTGAGACATTCATGGTGTCCTCTATACATTCGAGTTCTTCAACTCAGCTAGAGACGGACCTCCCAAATCATAGCCGAAAGTTTTTTAAATTGTATAATTAATATTATAGTTCTGCTTTCCAAGATAATTGGGATGGAGCATTGATACTTGTATCGTCGCAAAATATAATGTTATTCCAATATTTTACCGGCTGATTAATCATGTTTACAAAAATTAAAGCGCATTTCTGCATTTACCAATAAAAGCATACATTTTTAACGCCCACCTGTGAACTTTTCTTCAATTTTGCCTGTTTTTTTTTTAGTTTTGCGCTATTTTTATTATAATTTTATTCAAAACTTATTGTAAATCAATAAAGCATTAAACAAATTTCGTTGATATGAATATTCATTTTGCATTAATTTTGCATCTAATGACAAAAGTTGTATTTGTCTTCAGTGTGTAAAGAGTTGCTTGACAAATTGTAAATATGCATCTTAATACATATACACGCATATACAAATATACATACACATATATACATGCATACTCTTTACCTATTGCTATGTCTTGTCTATATCTTTATCGAATTTGGCAACTAATCAAACGTTTTGCTTTGTTCTCTTTTCTCGCGTTCTCTCTTTGCAGATTGTATGGACGGCAATTGAAATGCGAAAATAAGCAGGAAAAGAAAGAAGAAAAAACTTTTTGTTTTGTGTTGAAATACATTTTTTTTAAGTTTTCCTGTGATAAAGCAGCTGGTAAAGCCAGTAGAAAGCAAAAGCAAAAAAGCAAAAAAATTAAATAAAATAAAATAAAATAAAATAAAATAAAATAAAATAAAATAAAATAAAATAAAACAAAAATGCCAATGATAACAACAAATAAATTAATTCAAAATGTGCGCAAAAGTTGTTAATTAATGGAAAATTTTTGCAAAAAAGAAAAAACTAACTAATTAACTTGTTAATCGACACACATACACACACACATATATATATATATAGCTGAAACACGCCCATCGCCGCCTTAATATGTGTCATCCGTTTTTTTTTCGCTAGCAAAACAAAATTTATAAATAAATAAAACAAAAAAAGTTTTCTCAAATGTTAGCACTAACTAGCAGTAAAAAAAAATAATATAAAATAATATATTGTTTCAAAATGTTTTTTTTTTTGCAAGTTTCTAAATACATTTTTTTTATGTGATTTTTTTGTTTTGTTTTCGTGCAACAACAAAACCAACAACGAAGAGAGCGCGTGTGCAAATTGCAAATTGGCAACAAGGCGCGCGCGTGCAACGTTGCCAAACTTAACTGCAACCACTTACCCTCACTCTCTCTGTCACTCTCTCTCTTTCTGCCTTTGTGTGTGTGTGTCTGTGCCAAAAAAATTACAAGAGTTTTTTTTCTTTTTGCAGCAGTCGCAGTGTGTGTGTAAATAGGCAAATGTTTAATATAGTAATACAACAACAAAAAAAAAAAAAACAACAACAACAACAGCAGCTGCAGCAGCAACAACAGCAGATCATATATGGTAAAACAAACAACGTTAAACAACAACAACAACTCGAAATACAAGTGCAGCAGCTGCTGCATGGCGTCTCTTAAGCGCGCAAGCTAAATGTTGTTGCTGTTTTATTGACAGCAACAACAACAGCAGCAACAACCGCAACAGCAGCAACAATAATAAAAATAATAATAATAATAATAATAGTAATACTAGTAATAATAACAACAACAACAATTGTAGTGTGAGCAACAAAAACGAGAAAACAGAAACAATTGCTCATGTTGTGAATATGTTGCAGTGCAATGTTGTTGCATGCGAGCAGCTCAGTGATAAAAACAACAGCAGTAGCAACATTACATATGAAACAGTAGAAGCAGCAAAAGCAACGACAACAACTACTACTTCTGGGCGGAACAACAAGTGTTTAAGCCAAAAGAGTTCGGCATGAAATGGAAGCAGCTATACGCTCCTCTTCAGTGCAGGTCGGTGCTCCGCCGCCCACAAACAACGCCACAAACGGTGGACAACAGCAGCAGCAGCAACATCAGCAACACCAGCAGCAACAGCAACATCAACAGCAACAGCAGCAACATCAGCAACAACTTCATCACCATCACCATCACCATCATCATCAGCAGCAGCAACAACAACAACAGCAACGTATTGCCAGCAATCAGCAGCAACACAGCGCAGCAGCAGGCAACGCTGCTGCGTCCCATCAAGTGCATGATAATGGACCAACGTCCCATCATCTACATCATCATCAGCAACAGCAACAGCATCAGCAGCAGCAGCAACAGACAGCAGCAACTAATCAACAGCAGCAGCAGAATAAAGCGACGCAACAGCAGCAAAAGCAGCAACAGCAGCAACAGCAACAAGTTGCCAATATGTCGTATCCGCAGCGCATCGCGAGTGGCACACAAATTCATAGGTGATTTATATATATATATATACTTATAAATATTATATAATACATAAGAATCGCATCTGCAGTAGACGCTCGCTGACCTGTCAGCGACATTGTCTAGCCTAAGCTTTAGTTGATTTTTTATGTAATCTAGCCTATCTATATCTATATATACAATCTAATCGTTATATAGCTATCTATCTAATATAGCTATATCTTTATATAGCTATATATCTATGTATATATATAGTCTAATCTAATCTAATCTAATCTGATCTATATTGCATTCTAAAGAAGATCTAAGAAATAAAAGAACTAGCGTGTTCCATAGGATTTTGAGTTGACTTTAGGTCGTATTAACAATTATTTAATTATGAAGAATCTACAATTTATATGGCGTTGTTCAATCAAAAATAAGAAGAGTGTGCAATGTGAACAATAGTCCTATAAAAAGTAAAGGAAGTAAGAGTGTTCTGAAGAAGAGGAAATACAGGTTATAGACGGATTGATGGACGGATCCTGATCAACTCATTTAGTTGTTTGTCAAGCAAAAGACTTCTATACAGATATTTCAATTCAGAGAGAGATATAAAGAGAGCGATAGAGAGAGATTGAGGATATTTAATCGTGTTTTGAAATTTCATCTATATATGAAGACTTCACTAAAAATACATATACTAAAATGATTTAAAAAACATATATATGTATATATACTATATATGTTTACGTATTCATGTACTATGCCCCGATCCACACTAGAAACTCATTTCCTGTTTTGGGTCTATTGGAACAGCCCCGCTAGCCTCTCATCGCCTTTTGGCTACAGTCGATAAGGGTCGACGCGAATCGTCCGCAACCCAAATTGTTGCAATGCGAGCGAGATAAGCCCGGAGGGAAGAACTACTACTATATGTATAATGCTGATAAGGGAATTGAACCAATTTTTGTATTATTATGCATTATATAGAGAATAACGCGGAGAAAGGCAGGGTTGAAAAGATGTGCTGCGTGAAAGTTGTAGAAATACAGAGAGAGGAGAGACAGTAAGAGGAGTAAAAGGAAGGAAGATACAGAGAGATTGAGATAGAGAGAGGTATTAAAATAAAATAAGGGAGAGAGTAGGCGAGATAGTGAGAGAAAAATATAAAGGTGGAGAGATCGAAAGAGAGAAAGCTGATTGAGACAGTGAGAGAGAGAGAGAGTGAGGGGGAAGAACTCTCTTTCCACCCTATATTCCCTCGTCAATCTCTCTCCAGAGAATAAAAGAGAAAGAGAGAAAAAAGAGACAAAGAGAGTAAAAGAGAGAGAGAGAGAGAGATAGAGACAGATAGAGACAGATAGAGCTAGAGACAAAGAGACACAGAGATGCAAACTGATGGGAATGGCATTATTTCGCTACTCTTTACTTCACAGCCAAAATGTATTTAACCATGGAATTTCCCACAGTTACACATACATGCATACCTACAAACATAAGTTAATATATCAACCTACAGTTGTTAATCGTTGAATAGCTACTCTATAAATTATACGTAGTAGAATATGGACGTTCCAAGACATTTATAATGGAGCATTGCACGCAGTCAGCCTTCAAATTCCGTTTTATTGTATTTATGCAACCTTTGCGTACCGAACACAATTAATAACCGAAAAATAAACACAAAATGTACGAAAACTCACGTAGAATTCGATCAAAAGTCTTGAGTCAAGAATTTGACGACCTTCACAACATGAAATATTATATAATAACGCTAGAGACATATTATGTTAATGGATATATATAAATATAATGTACATACATATATCTAAAAGCGATTTAAATTCAAATAAGGAAATTGTATGATAGCATAGTTAGAAGAGAGGAGCGAGGAGGGGTATATATTCGTCAGAGAAGTAGATAAATGGGTAACAGAATTGAAAGACAAACAGAGACTAAAGCGGTCTGTGAGCGCGAGCGAGAGAGCGAAAGAGCTGAAGCAAATGCGACCCGGAAAGCGAAACAAAAGTCGCAAAATGTTTTGTTTTTTTTTTTTTTTTTTTTTTTTTTTTTCAATAATGTTGCTAGTTTTTGCGGTTACGGCAAACGAAGAAGTGGGAAGCACTTAAAAGACAAAGACAGAGACAGAGAAAGAAGGATAGAGAGAGAGAGAGACAGCTAGACAGACAGACAGACAAAAAGACAACCGACGATGACTAAGCGGGCGAGCGAGTGAAGTGAACTTAACTTGAAGTGTTGCGAGAGTGGGCAGCGCAGCAAAAGAAGAAGAAAAAGCGGAGGAGGGAAGAAGAGGAAGAAGAAAAAACAGCAACAGCAACAGCAACAGCAGCAGCAGAACAAGTGATTGAAGCGAACAAAGTGAAGTTAAAAGCAATGCCAAAAGTGTGTGAGTGTGGGTGAGTGAGAAGGATGGTAGATGGAGGATGGAATGAAGGATTGGTGCTTCGGCTGGTGGTGTTTGGTGGGAGGGGGTTTAAACACAACACGCACGTTGATTAAGTTAAAAATAATCATACGTAATTTGACACTGTTGACCTGCCGCAACGAGACAAGAGTAGGGGATAATAACACGTTTGTGTGTGTGTGTGTGTGCGTGTGGCGTGACCGAGTCACAAATACCCTTCATGTGTTATCTGTTTATATAGTGAATATTATATATATAAGATAATATACCCTTTTGGCTAAGCACACTACAGGGTATTAGAATAACAGCAACAGCAAACAGACAGTTACTAGTTGAGGTCGCTTCTCTTCCCCGTCGTTCACTGCTTTGTTGGAATGACAGCAATTAGAGAGCTAAATGGCCGCACACAACGGACGACCGCAAAAGAAGTCGACGACTGGAAAATGTCATGACATGCAGTTAGGCGAATGGAGAAAGGAGTGTGGAGCGTAGCGAGTGGGTAGTGGTTAGAGTAGAGGGGACAGTCGATCGGAGGGAGATTTGCACAAAAAAACTTTGTTAGGGCTTGAGGGAAAACGGGTTTCACTTTGTAATTTTCAAAGGTCGTTTAGCTAAGAGAATCGACACAAAAAAATCATGCAAAAAAAAGTAATATTTCTGTAGTTGTGCGGACACGACTAACAAATAGCCTGCCAATTGGCATACAAGTTGCATAACTTAGTCGAAGCATAATAGAAAAACAAAATATTTATATGTGTATCTATACATAGTGTGAACATAAATTTTGATTGTTAATTAAATCGATATGGAAAATATGATATGAAAGCAAGAGAACTAATTTATTGAGTAAATACTTTTATATACATAAGGCAGTTCATATACAGTCAATTTCGACCAATTATATTATATATGTAGAGTATATCAGATGTAATAGATACATAGGGTATTGAAAGTTCTATGCTTTTACGATCATTGATGTATTTCAGTTTTAAAAATAACTTTGATTGCTTTTTGGTGCGTGTTCCAAAATGGACAATTGATTGATGTCAATAGACGCAGCCCCTACGAACTCTACTCTCTATACCCACCCTCTACCCTCTACTAGACGCTTCCTCGTCTCATTCTCCTTTTCATTTTTTCTCCTTCGTCAATTACCCATTTCAATTTGTGTTTAAACGTTCAAAGGGGTTTTGGGTTTTTAATGGACATTTAATGAGACGGCAGGGAGTATAGCAAAAGTTATAGTAATTGCACGGGCAATTAGACTTCAATCGAATGTCATAAGAAACGTTGCGCAGTCTGTTTTGCTGCTGTTTCATAGAATGGGTTTGAGCATGGGAATGGGAATCGGAATGGGATTGCAATGAATGAAATTTGATTGGATTTTGAATCGTATAGAAAAGCTTTGGCTGCAAAATATATAAGAAAACCAATTTTTGCAAGTGCAGCCCGTCGTTTTCTATGTGCCGTTGTTGCTGTTGTGTTTGTGCTTCTGCATTCCATTTTTTTTAGTTTACTTCTATGATTCCCACTCGCTATTTCTTTCACAACTCTCTTCGCTCTATAACTGCCCCGTTTCCTGCTGTAGTCCAAACATTTGCATTGAACTCGAGTCTTGGGCGGCATTAAAAATCTCAAAAAGAAATAGGAATCAGACATACACATACATACGTTTTAATATATAAATATATATATGCACTATGTATATATATACATAAACATAAACATACTTAAACATAAATAAAAACATAAACAAATAAAATTTCCCAACGTTCCGTTTGCATTTTGTTTGTTGTTCTTTACACGTTGTTCGCGAGTATATAATGGGGATGGGGCTTGCATTGTTTCAGGTATTGCGTCTTCCATTCAGCTATTTAGCTATTCAGCTTTACCATATCTGATCGAATTACTGCATATGATATGGCTATTGTATAGCAGTAAGCACTTCTAAGCCAACTGTTTTGCAGGGTATTTAATCTGCGTCATTTTTTTTATTAAGTCCAAGCTATTTGACAGTTATAATTTATATCTGTTATACAGTTTGCGTTACACTGACTTGTCATGCAGTTTAAATCAAGCTGAAACAACAACAGCAACAACAGCAGAATTAACAATAATAACGCGCATACAAAGACACACACACACATGCCCACACACACTCACAGACGCATACATTTTAATCGCTCTCGAACGGTCAAGGTTGCAAAATATTTAATGAGTCAAACGCGACGACGACAACGACGCCAGCAGCGACGTCAACGTCAACGTCAATGACTGCGCTCGGTCTATCTGCTGCCAGCTGCGCAGTCTTCCAGTTGTTGTTGTTGCTGTTGTCATTTTTGTTTATCGACCGGCACACACATAGAGAGAAGCACACGCACAAATGCAAAAAACAGTTATGTGAACTGAGCCTCTGCTCGCCCGCTGCTAGTGCTGCAACTGTGCACTGTTCAACTGTTCACATGCCTCTCTATCTTCGCTGCGCTGCCGCGCTCACTCTCTTGCTCCGTAGCTTAGGGTGTCGTTGACGCGCGTCGTTCACCTCTCAGCCCCGCCCCTCTGTAGCTTGTTTTGTGGTCGATTTTATTATGCGCAGTTGTTGCTCTGCTGCCGGCTAAGAAA